AAATCACATCAACATTTATTCAAATAAAAACTTCTAGTCTGTAAACTCTTTCTTAAATATAAAAAGGAAAGTTTAGGCTCTATAACAGGGTTGCGTTTATTACCAGGGTGGAAGAACTGCTATGATTTTAATTAATAAACTGAATTACTAACTGAACATTTGTGTGTTAAATCATATTGTTGCTGACTTTTTATACATGCAGGTCACTCGAGACCATCGCGCCAACAACACTCTCTCACTTTACCACACAGCCTTTGTGGTTTGTTGCTTTTTTCCACAGCACTGCACTTACTACAGAGCTTATTAGAAAGAAAGTACTTCCTTTTTGTCTAAAAAAAGACCTTGCAAATATCTTGAATGTGTACATTATAATGTGGTTGCACCTCCTCTGCCACTGTGTGTCTGCTGAATGGAAGTAAACAGAGCTGATCACTTTAAACTATTCAACAATTCCTGAAGACTACAACGTTATTTCAGTGAAAAAAAATAAAGCAGGTTGGCTGGATTATTAAGAAGCAGCTTTAACCCAAAGGAATCACTGGACATGGGAAGCTCTTTTTTATTTTAGGATATGCCCTATAGTAACAGGAAAAGGCACCGTTTCCTATAGTATGCCATTGCTGTAGGCAATTATCTGTAACTGACGTCACTAACAGGGATGAAACATTTCTTTTTTTGCCTTTTCTGACTCATAAAGATATGCGGGTACAGTTGTGACCCCATTAACAAACTCAGCATGTCTACATAAGTAAACAAAAAAACAAAAGTGACTTTGTTTAGTTTATTAATACACATACTGTGCAAGATTCATTGATGCATGTTATTCCAAAGAAACAAAATATTTGTCTGCGTTATCTTTCATCAAAATGGCTTTCATTTCATTCATTGCTAATATTACTAACCCAGTTCCAAATGTCATATCCAGACCATGTCCAGTCAATTAAATTGATCTATTCTGAAAATTTTCACATTACAGAAGCATCTAAAAAGTCATATAATAACTCTTTTTAGAGTCCATATTTGGTGTTGCACCTTGAATCTTGAATGAAATGCATGATTACATTGGGTGACTAGGATAACTCTTAATCTTTTGTTTCTAGAAACAAGATTTATGTCACAGAACTGCACATTTCTACTCCTCTATATAAGGGATTAAATGGTTTTACACTTAGGTCTAACTGTCGGGAATTACATTTACATTGTATTACATTTAGTCATTTAGCAGACACTTTTATCCAAAGCGACTTACAAATGAGGACAATAAAAGCAGTCAAAACTAACAAAAGAGCAACAATATATAAGTGCAAATGACAAGACTCGGTTAGCCTAATGCAGTGTAGCAAGGTATATATATATATATACACACACACAGTCATGGTCAAAAATATTGGCACCCTTAGTAAATATGATCAAAGAAGGTTGTGAAAATTAATCTGCATTGTTAATCCTTTTGGTCTTTTATTTTAAAAAATCCCAAAAAAATCGAACCTTTTATTGGATAATAAGTATTTAAAATGGGGGGAAATATCATTATGAAATAAATGTTTTCTCTAATACGGCACCCTTGTATTCAATACTTTTTGAAACCTCCATTTGCCAGTTTAACAGCTCTAAATTTTCTTCTATAATGCCTGATGAGGTTAGAGAACACCTGACAAGAGATCAGAGACCATTCCTTCATCCAGAATCACTCCAGACCCTTTAGATTCCAAGCTCCATGATGGTGCTTCTCCTCTTCAATTCACCACACTCATTTTCTACAGGGTTCAGATCAGAGGACTGGAATGGCAATAGCAGAAGCTTGGTTTTGTACTCAGTGACCCATTTTTGTGTTGTTTTTAAAGTTTGTGTTTGGATTATTGTACGGTTGGAAGATCCAAACATGGGCCATTATAAGATTTCTAACAGAGTCAGTCACTTATTGATTTTTTATCTGTTGGTATTTGATAGAATCCATGATGCCATGTGTCTAAACAAGATGTCCAGGACCTCCAGCAGAAATATAGGTCCACAACATCAAAAATACAGCAGTATATTTCATTGTACACAAGAGGTACTTTTTATCCCTGTGTTCACCAAACCCATCTTGAGTGTCTGCTGCTAAAAAGCTCATTTTTTAGTTTCATCTGACCATAGAAGC